TTTTATTCGAGTGGACCCCACCTCCATGTGAAAGGGGTGTACACCCCGATGTAATCCTTAATGTACTACTAGCATGATCGTTTTTTATATCTTTCGTATACCGTATAGTCCATGACAACGTCGTTTACTAAACAGGAATATTGGAAATTAGTTGCTAATCATATACTCCTAATTGTATATTAAGGATAATGCTATGGATACATAGTCCATAACATAATGCCCCTTATATTAAATTGCATTAGAAGTGTATTAAATATAATGAGTGTTCTAAAAAACGTAAAGAGTGCTTAGATGTGGAGGTGAAACTTCGAACTTTACGAGCTTAAGCGAGACTTAGGCGTAAAAGTCTTATTTTTAACATTTTTTTAATCATTTAATAATAAAAATAATGCATTTCAAATATCTAATACTATAAATACTATATTTACTAAGGGTGCGTTTGAGTTACATTATTTTGGAAGATAATTTGAAATAGTAGATTGATGGAGAATGTATGATTGAAAAAGAAAGAAAATTTATTGATGTGATAAAAAATATTATTTTATTAAAAATGTGTGGTTGAAAATGAGTAGAAAATGAAAATGAAAATTCTAATGTGGCTCAAACATGGACTTAATAATTCCTATCATTAGTCAAATATACAGTTTTCAAGCTTTCAAAATGCAAAAATTAAAATATTCTTCTTAGTTTTAATTTTTAACTAGATAAGTCTTATTTAATAAATTTATAGGAACTTCATATATGCTTTTGAAGTTTGCAACTAAATAACGAGTCTCGTGATATTAATTACATAATATAAATAATATCATAATTTAAATCTTATTTAATAATTTAGATAAAGTTATTTTTTAACTTTTGTACAAATAAAATCTTTTTAAAACTCAAAATTAAAACCAAATGAAAAGTTCTTTATTTTAAAATTTTAAAAAATAAAAAATTAATCAGCTATAATCGTATAAAGCCTTTTAAAAAAGGACAAAAAAAACTAATAAAATACGTTTAGAGAAGAAGAAAGAGAGGCATGGCGTTACGCTCAAGATTCGAGCCTAGACAAACTTAACTTTTTAGAACACAGTGTAAAATAGATGTCAGAGAAAATATGCTTGAACACCAAACACTTTGCTGCATCGCTTTCCACACAGCGGTGGCAAACGAGCCGAGTCGACTCGTTGCCCACGAGCTTGAGCTCGTGGCTCGTTATAAAACGAGCCAGTACTGTAGCGAGCCAAGCCGAGTGTCTCAGCTCGTTTTTTTTGAATTTTTTTTTTAACTATCATTCTTAAAAAAAAACGAGCCGAGCCGGTCGGGCTCATTTTTTGACGAGCCACAACGGCTCGTGGACTGCTACAGTATGAGCCGAGCGGCTGATCCGACGAGCCGCTCGGCTCGATTGCCACAACAAGGGATTTCCACACTTGGAAAAGTTCTCGGAAAAAAATAAAAGAAGCAACATCCAACATCTTGAAACGTCCAGAAGGTTAAAATGAACAAATTCGATAACATATCACGTAACATAAGTACTGGGCACGGCGAATACTTCACGAATCTCTATTTTAAGAGGATCAAAGCATTTTACTTTGATTGGAAACTAGGATCTTAGGCAAAGCACAGTTTC